TCCCCCCCCCCCGCCCCAAATCTCGCCCCGCTCGCTCACGTGGGCCAAGCTGTCGGAGAAAGGGGGGGAGAAGGAGAAGGGTGCGCATGCGCCGCTCGTCGGCCCGCGGAGGCGGTTTGTTGTGGTCGCCATTTTTTGTTGCATTACTGGGAAATCCCGGCACCGGAGCAGCAGCCGCCGGCGGAGTACGCCCCTTGCGCTGGGGGTGGGGGCGCCCGCCCGCCCGTCTGCCGCGCCCCAGGAACGGGGGCGGAAAAAAAGAAGACGGTGAGGGGGGGTGGGGAGGAAAGGGATGGGGGAGAAATCCGTCCTCATTTTCCCGCCTTCCTCCTCCATCCTCCATGAGGGGACGATTTCTCCCAGAGCCGGACTCTCCTCAGGCCCCGCCCCTGCCCGGCTTGGCTGGGCTTCGCCTCAGGCGGGACCCCGATTGTGTGTGTGTGTGTGTCCCCCCTTCCCCTCTCCCGTCCGGCCTGCCCCGCCCTTGTCCCCTCCCCGGCGCCCGACCCCACCCTGGATGCTGCTGCTGCTGCCGCCGCCGCCGCTCCTCTACCGCCTCGCCCACTTCCTTCCTTCTCCCTCTCTGCAGCGCAGCCGCCGCCTCCCCCTCCTCATTTTAGGCCTAGCCTGGTTTCGGCTCCATTCAAACCCCTCAGTCCTCCAAAATAATAAAATAAAATCCTCCATGGGTACAGCTTCGTGTGCATAGATGGGACCTGTCCTCTGTACCTTCCGTCCCCGTCCCCCCCCCGCTTGCACTTCGGGGCCGATCGGGACACGAGGATGCCCGCTGGTGGAGCTCGCTCCCCGCGCGCGGTGGCTGGCTTGCGTGCAAGCACGGGCTCTTGGTTGGGTGTCCTTATGGGCAGAAGGTGGTGGTGGGGAGATATTAAATGAGGGATAGCCCCTTGTGCACTGTGGCGGTGGGTGGGGGGAGAGATGAATTCTATCGTTTTCCATCATGCGTATTTCATCATGCATCTGATGCATCCGAGCTCTTGGGAAAGCTTATGCTTGAGAGAAAGGGGCTAACGCTAAAAGACCTAAACGTGGTTTCGTTGCGTTATTTTGTGCATCTGTTGAAGAAAAGTCTTGAATGAAGAGAGCGCTTATGAATTATGGCTAACCTTAAAATACTTTTATTTCGTTGTTTCATGTTATCTGGTGAAGTGAGCTCTTGATATTCAGAAATCTTATCCTGGGGAATAATTTTTTTTTGCTTTGCTACAGGACTACTGTTTCATTTTGCTGCAAGAAATGGACACTGCTAGAATTTAAACTCTTATTTCAGACCAAGATTTTAACTAAATTTATTCCAGTGTAAGGTTAGCAATCATAAACAGGGCTCCACAAAATCATACTTGGATTTATTCACTGGGGTTATTTTTGTAAAAATGTTTTTAGAATTGCAAAAATGTATCCCTGGGTAATAAACTGGAAAAGCCTAACCAAATTTATTTCAGCCTAAATTTACATCATGTACTTGATGAAATGAGCTCTAACTCACAGGAGTATATGCTTTAAAGTTTATTCCAATGTAAGCTTTAAAGATTTAATGAACTTATTCCAGCATAAACTTTAAAGTCCTAATGACATGTATTCCAGCCTGTGTATGCATCTCATGGAGGTGATCTCTAACTTGCAAATGTTTTATATTGGAATAAATTTTGTCACCCTGTAAAGTGCTGTTGGAAATCCGTCTTATTAAAGTGAATTAGTGACACATATGTTTTACATGAGAGCTCTTAAAAAAAATAAATCCATATGTAACTCTGTAACTTGTTTTGTATTTATGGGACTGGAATTTTTAAAAAGAAAGAAACCCTGGGTCGTTAAAAAAATCAGAGGGGGGTTGCTGTTGCTTTTTAGTAGTATGTGAGTTGATTCTTTTAAAAAGCTATTTAGGAATTCTCCTCACCAAACCTGTTTAGTTTGTTTTTTAAAAACTATTGTGGTCTAGTAGTCTTTTTGAAGGATACAAAACTAGTGGCTTTCACTTGGCTCTTGTCCCTTCCAGCCATCCTTGGTGCATTTTTATCTCACTCTTCCTCCAGTTAGCTTAGGTTGATATACATAGTGCGGTCCTCTTTCCATTTTATCCTCACAACAACCCTGTAAGGTAGTTTAGGCTGAGAATGACTAGCTGAGGGTCGCCCAGTAAGTTTCATAGTTTAAATAAACAAGGGACTCCCTAGTCCTAATCCTACACACTTAATTTCTACATTACATCAAAATGATCTGTCTAGAACGTGTAGCATGCACCCTAAAATGCGGTGCTTTTGCTTATATGTTCAACCTTACTCCCTGCTCAGATCAGACCCAATGAACTCAAAATGCTTTTTGTTAACATCAATTATTCTAGTCCCATATGTTTTATTACTTTTTTCTGTTTTCCATCCTGCAGTTCCTTCTGCTAAATCTGTATAATACCAACAAAAATAACTTTGTTAATAAATGGTAATGATCTTAACAGTAGCTGTGAATTGTACTGGAAAAAATTGTTTTAAGTGGACAGTACTGATAAACTGGGAGAGCTCTTGTTCAAGGATTGTGTTCATATCAAGAAATTAATAGTTTCAAATTAATATTTGAAGAATAGACTAAACAGGTAGAATATAACCTCTCACCAAACATTTGCTTATTTCCTATGATGGGACTTCAATCATAATCATGTAACCTGGACTGGTAGCTGCTTTTGTAAGTGCTGACTTAATGACTCTAGTGCTTTGAGAAGTAATATACACTGGCGAGCGTGTGTGTTTTTGCCAACTGTAGTTTTATGTCTATGGACACTTCCTTTGGTTTTCTAAAGTAGTTATGCTAGTGCTGGTTTCTGGTACTTCTTGCTATTTACAAATGATTTTGTTCTTAAAAGATCAGTACCTAGAAATGTTTGTTAGCTCTTGATTTTTTGGGGAAACTCTGGTATTGGTCCTTAGAATGTTAAAGATTTCTGTTGACTGAGAAGTTGATTGTTTTTTTATCTTGGGTAATAGGTCGGTTTATTTGTATGATCAGATCTACCAGAGTTGGCCCTGATAAAATTGGCCACAAGTCAGGTTGGGATAGAATTCTGTGAAGTCGTTTCTGTGGTACACAATAC